GCCTCGGCTAAGGCGGCCGTACATCGGATAGATTATTCTTGGCGGGACAGAACTTTTGTGAGGCACCTCCGTAACTAAAGACGTTTTGTACGCTATTCTCTTTACCTATTGGTGTTCTTCGACGGCTTGTCGCTTACAGGAATCAATGTCATAGGCGGCGTAATTATGACGTCACCGCTACACCCTATGCATCTGCTGGGCGCCACAAGCGTGTTGGGCCATGGAAGCATTTTGCTGTCAAAATAGAGTCAGCAGCTTGACCAACGCATTTCTAACGATTAGAAGCATACGGAAGAATGCAATTGACAGGGTCGAGGTTACAGTGTGCTCGCGGGTGACGGGACGGGACGGAACGAGCTACCCCGCTCACCAAAGGTCACCTTCGCTCTACAAAGATCTTCAATCTTCGACATGAATTTTGAAGCCGTCTCGGTACGTTTCAATCGACTGAAAAACTGTGCCAAACATGATACATTTGCATGTATTTTTGAACCAAATGAACAAACAAGCAAAGCCACCGACAATGGGCTCATTGTAGCAATTCAATAGTATCTACCAAACCCCTGTTTGGCTGAAGTTTGACCCTTTTCCCTTTCGTTTTGTATACTTGGTTGTTTCCCGACTCCCATTCGTTCAAGAGACTGTATTTTTGTTTGCGCCTAATCGTCGACATAATTGTTCTTACGTACATTCACCTGTCATGAAATTACAGTATGTTATACAATGCTGGCTGTTCAGTGGCTCTCTATGGGGTTTCTTCAAAATAACCATGACAGCCTTGACTCTTACAAGCCTCCCCATCGTTCATCTTGGAAACCACATTCAAAAGTGGCTCAAGTACAACGCTCGTTGTCGGATAATGCCAACCGGCTCCATCAAGTCAGTATGAGCCGTGTTAACTGCCTGTCGAACTAGGAGATATTGCTTTGGAAAGGTAAAGGCGTAAACAGCACCCTGGTCACCTGGATCATATGATGAGCGACATCCAAAGGACCGAAAATGATACCCATGACCATCGTGGCGAGACATATCGTTTCTAGAACCTTTGTTGACCAAGGGCGGTACACAACATGAACCAATGTCTCAGCCACATTTATTGAAACCCCAATCCTAAGTATCTGCCTGATCCTGCCCACTAGTCAGTATCTCTCGTATAATTTGGCCCCTCGTAATCTCGGGCTTGGCGCTGACATTGCGGCCCCAAGGCAAACCCGAGGAGCGCCGTGGAGGAGGAACTTCAGACCCCAAATCAGTTGTGCAGTCCAATAAACATTCTTACTGACTGTTTCTGGAGTTTGGCTTTTACGATAAGCCCCGAGCCGTTTACAGCACTACAAATTGCTCTAGGCCATACCACTTCATAAGAATGTGGCACAGCTGAGCGTTTGTATCTTGCCTCGCTAAAACGACATTAGGCAACTAAATAAGCCTGAATTACTGTACTAGGCAAGAAGCGAGGTATCTCTCTTGACTCGGTTATTTGTACCGACATCCTAGAGGTGGCACAGTCATGATAGTTCAGCACAGCCTACTGTAGGCGGCCAACTACGCATTAATTGGGGAGCCGAACAGCTTTCCATACTTGGTCTCTTTGGTTTATATCGGTGTTGTGATTCAAGTCAAAGGCTGCGTGTTTTGATCGATTTCAAGTCGTGACAGGAACGGTTTTTCTTGAATATCCGATTTTCTCGATCCCAACTCATAGTGTACGAGATCCGGAATAGCCCACCAGATGCAAACGGGCGATGGATTACGGCGTGCAGTCAAAGGATCTCCAAGAGGATTTATTCAGCCAGTGTGAAGAACCAGTTCATGGCACACATAGTGCCCCATGTACTAGGTGCTGACCGTAGGATCATCCTATGTTCAAATCAATACTTGGCAAGAAGATGTAGGTGCGCGGTGAGAATGTAACTATCGTAGCCTACTCTGGAGCTTCTCGTCTATATAACTGTGAGCTCGTTCTAGCTTTGGGTTATCCAGTAAGTCACTACTTCGGCTTCAGTCAACACCTCTGGTCTCCAAATATTCATCTGGTTTCGCAAATACTCTCCCAGATACATTCATATTTCGATACTTGATCACGATATCTCTTCTTAAGACACCAACCAAAATGAAGTTCATCCTCCTTCTCAGCACGGCAATCTACACTGCCACAGTGCTAGCTGCTCCGGGCGCCGTATGTCCTTCCTTACTGTTTACCCGTAACATCCTGCTCTTCCCAGCATCACAACTAAGTCCACCTCTCAGATCTCACTCAACCGCTCCTTCAAGACTCTTGCTGGCCGTGCTGACGGTGACGATTCCATGCACATTGCTTGCGTCGAGTGTCCTTGCGATGTGAGTCTTTTCTGCTACCCCTCGTCCCTATCGAAGGAACTATATTCGTCATATGATTAACCAGTGATTTGGCAATGGCTAACTTCTGCCGTAGGGGTTCACTGGAGCTTGCCGGTGCGTCAACAATGGATGCTGCTGTGATATGACAAACCCTGGCCAGCCACCTGCTGGAGGCTGGTGAAAGACAGTCTAAAGTCTGTTTTTGGGAGCGATTTCATTATGAGAGCATAGTATGAGGGATTATATAGGAGTTTCAATCACTAGTCTTGCATCAAGAATACTTATCTGTTATTATCATCGCTGTGTGATGAGTGATCGTAAGGCATGAAGACCTTTGTCCAGATTCCAGGGAGTGCCTAGATCACAAACAACGATTCGACATGGAGGGGTAAGGCTATGGCTTACAGAACGGGACCATGGTTCCATAGGCAGCTGTTGGACAAGGTCACGGTTGGATAGGGAGCATGTTGGAGTAAGCACGCCAAGCCACTTGTTTCGTACCTGAAGAATAACATGGGCTTGCAAGGCGAACAATTGGAAAGAATATAAGGTTGTGACGTTGAGGGAGCTCCTCGGAGTGGTTCAATAGTTCCGGCGGATGTGGTCTATCCGAGCTGACCCTAATTTGGTTTTGGATGAATACACTAACAATTTGAATAGTATTTCACGCATCACAAGTACACTCACTTACATTGCTATACTTTCTGATTTACCCCTCGGGTTGATCGCTATGAAGGGTCCGCTAGCGCTATGTGTGCCGATTGGCCTAGAATGGCCGTCGTCATCTTGCCTGGTAGGTGTGGTAATCCAACTATCTAGAGTAGGTTATGATCTGCTCATGGTAAAACACTAAACAGGAAATAGTGCGTAGAGCTAGCACCATATCCATCGCGCTATACACGCAAATGGATCGCGACTAAGTTCCACTCCCGATCATTACCGGCCCACCCGCCGATTCAGGGGAACCACGATGGAAATAACCTCCCACTTGTTCTGCAGCACACGACTCATGTAATTGAATTGGATTAAAAGCGAGGGTATCCCATGCCTGTGTTCAGGCAGCAGGGACCTTGTGTTGCTTTGTCGTTGGTTGATCAACTCTTACTGAAGATCATATAACTCTCGATATGCGTTTTTTCGTGTCGTCGCTAGCTCTCCTGAGCGTCGTCCCTCAGTCACTCGCTATACCTGCTGCAATAGCGCAGCCATCAATTGAAGACGCCACCAAAACCATTGAGGAACGTCAACTTCTCACCAACCTTTTGCCTGGTCTCCTGCCCGGCGTGGTTTCGCTCGTCAAGGGTCTTCTGGCCGATGTTAACGTCGCCGTAGCTGAGGGCAAGCCTCAGGAAGTTCTCAACATTCTCCAGAAGCTACAACCCACAACACGACCAACGAAGATCCAAGACGCTGTCGCGGCACATGCCAAGATATGGGCGACTCCAACCACAAGAACTGACTTTTTTGCTGCTGTTGCGACACAGATAGCTGGCGGTCTAGTCCTTGACCAGACACTTCAAGCGGCCTTGAACGGTGGTTTGCCAGTAGGAGAAAACATCGTCACGAACAACAACCCAGCTCCAGCATCTTCCATCTACCCTCAGAAGGATGCCACCGATGCGCCATATACCCTTTCTGAATCCGCTCTCCGGCAAGCGATATTCATTCCACCGAGCTTCACATACGGCGCCAAACGTCCCGTCATTTTTGTCCCAGGTACCGCTTCTTACGGCGGCACCAACTTTGCATCAAACCTACGGAAGCTCCTCACAGGCAAAGATTTCGCTGATCCAGTATGGCTTAACGTACCCGGCGCCATGCTCCGCGATACGCAAACAAACGCAGAGTACATTGCCTATGCCATCAACTACATCAGCGCCATCTCGCGTCAAAACCAGCAAAACATTGCCGTTATCACTTGGTCCCAAGGTGGTCTCGACACCCAATGGGTACTAAAGCACTGGCCATCGACACGACAAGTCGTCAAAGACTTCCTTCCCGTCTCCGCAGACTTCAAAGGCACAATCTTTGGAAACGCCCTCTGCCTGTCACCAAACAACCATGAGTCCCTCGTACCATGCAGCGCTGCTCTTATGCAACAACGAGCTACAAGCGAATATGTCCGAAGCCTAAGGTCCAACGGTGGCGACAGCGCATACGTACCTACAACATCCTTCTACTCTGGCTTCTTCGACGAGGTCGTCGAGCCGCAACAAGGCACTTCGGCTTCCGCATACATGAACGACGCACGCAACGTCGGTGTCACGAACATTGAGGTCCAGCGCGTGTGTACAGGCCAGCCCGCTGGTTCTTTCTACGGCCATTCCAGTGTTCTTTCTAACCCGCTTACCTACGCACTTATCGTCGATGCGCTGCAGCAAGATGGACCGGGCGACCTATCGCGCATTGATTTGAAGCGTGTGTGCAGTACCTTTGCTGCACCAGGACTTGATCTCGATGACGTGTTGGCGACAATTGGCTTGATACCAGTGGCGGGTGCGTTATTACTGTTGGAACCCAGTACTAAGACGCTTGTTGAGCCTCCGCTGAGAGCTTATGCGATGTAGTGGCGTTGCGAAGACTAAGTCTCGACACGTTCAGGGGCTATTTGTTTTTCTGGTAATGTGTTTTATGATAGTAGTATTTGTTTTTAGTTCTCTTCTTCGTCGTGTATCCTCTTTGGGGTTATCACATTGATAATGTAAATATCAGTTGACGCTATTAGTGGAGCAGGACTTAATGTCCGTTTTTTCTCTTCAATTTGATGCGTTTTGCTCTCAGGAGCCGATTTGAGCCGCGAGTAGGAATATAACATGTTGATATCTGCTACGGCTGTATTTATGATTGGTAATGTCAGCAGCCACACGCTCCACACAAATTGTAGAACTCCGATTATCCCATAGTACACATCTTCAATATCATCAAGCTCGCAGGTGTTTGTGAAGTAACCACTAGAGCACATCGTTTACCTCATCAATGATTTGAACTTTGATACTTCCGTTGCTTAGGTCGGCACATGTATGCAGGGCATCTAGTGCCTTTTCTAGTGGAAATGTGTGACTGACAAGTGGCTTGAGGTCTAGTATGCCACCCGCCAAGCACTGAAGACCAGCTGGCCAGGTGTCGCGGTAACGATTGATGAATTTCAGATCAATCTGTATGTGATGTTAGCGAAACGTATCTTTTAATGGGGGTATGGTTTGAGCGTATACCTCAGCTAGACTCAAATGCATGAATGGCAGATTATTCATGATTTCCTTCCCAACACCAATGACCATAACAGTCCCACCTCTTCGGGCTGTATAGGCTGCAGTGACAACACTATTCTCCACGCCCGTACATTCAAGCACGGTCTCTGGCGCTCCATACTCGCCCACATTCTCAAAGTCAAACAGCTCCCTAATCTTCTTTGCGTTACCCAACGCATCAAGATTTTGGTCAACTTGATAGGTATAAGCCGAAGGCACAAAACTTTTCGCGAAAGCCAATCGTTTTGGCTCGAGATCCGTAATGACAAGCGGGTGGGCCCCACTTGCTCTCGCTGCTGCCAATGCGATGAGACCAATGGGCCCTGCACCGCATATCACAGCGCCACGGCCTAGGGAAAGGCCTGCAGATTTGATACCGTGCATGACCACAGAGAGTGGCTCGAGGAGCGCACCTTCAGCATACGATATGTTGGAAGGCAGCTTATGGCACCACCGTGCAGGATGACATTTGAATCTCTGTACAGTGCCATCATAAGGGTAAACACCAGCGAATTGGACATCTTCGCATAGATTGTAGCGTCCGTCCATACACAAGAAGCATGTTCCGCACGGGACGCCGGGCTCGACTGCTACACGGTCCCCTATAGATAGAGTTAGAGAAGAAGACTGCATTGGAAGAGGGGAAGATCAAGTACCGGGTTGCAAAGTTGTAACGCCCTCACCGCACTGCAAAACCACTCCTGAAGCTTCATGACCGAGGATACAGTCTCCTTCGACGACGAGAGAACCTATTCTTCCTGCTTTCCAAAAATGGATATCGGACCTACCGAACTCAACATCAAACTCAGTCTATTCTTTGGTTACTGAGGTACGTACCCGCAAACGCCGGTGGCTTTGATATGCAACAAAACTTCTCCTTCTGCTGGCGCATACACAGGTGCTTCCTGAAGTTTTAATTTTTGGTCTGCAGTGACTTGCAGGGAAGGATTTGGCAGCGGTGTCTCGATCGTCGCACGCGTCGTGCTTGTTGGTTTGGACACGGAGGAAGTAGTTTTTGGGTTCATTATTGGATTGGTAAGGGTGGAAATGCAAAACTGCCTTAAACTGTCGAATGCAAGAGTAGATGTAGTCGACGTTGGGGTAATGGCTGATCGTGTCAAGGGCTCACGTCTTTAGCGGGTCATCCAGCTGTCGCTGCGGAAATAGCAACTCCATTCTCACAGCTCTCCGCACGATACAACAGGTGGCGCTGGATTGCGGGGAAATTGAGTGGAGAAGGCCGGTAGAGATCGCAGGTGGCTATGACTACTGTATTGGTGTAGGGTGCCTTCCGATCGCCAATGGGAATCCAGAGCCACCGCCCTCTTCCGCACAGCGAATACGTCGGGTTGCCTAATTAGGAACACCCGGTGCTCTCGACTTTCGATGCACATACGTCGTAGAAGATTCGTTGTCAGTCGTATGCTGGAAAGGTATTTAGATACCTTCTTCCTTTGAGATTCTTCTTTTCTAATTTTATTCGCTTTCTTTACTTGTGTTCTTCATCCAAAAGCTCAAATCCTTCTACACTCTAATATCATGTACGCATCGCAAGATGCACCCCAGGTGAACGGCTCCACGGCATACGGAAAGAATGCCGTGGAAAGCTTAAAGGAAGAAGAAAAGTTAGAAAAGTCGTCGGTGGGGAAGCTTTCAAAAGAGCATGACCATGTCTTGAAGACATTCAGATTGCTTATTGCAGACTTGTGTCAGCAATTCAATGGTGGACATCCAGGGTAAGCTTCATCATTCATCATCCAGAATGGTAACTAAGAAGTTTTCAGAGGGGCCATTGGAATGGCAGCAATTGGTGTTGCTTTGTGGAAATATGTCATGCGCTATGCACCTCACACCCCAGATTACTTCAATCGCGATCGATTCGTTTTATCAAATGGTATGCATCATAGAATCAACCTCGTATTCACAATCAAGATTAACCAAGAAAAGGTCATACATGTCTCTTTCAGTACACATTCCTCCATCTCACAGGATACAAAGCTATGACTTTTGACCAGCTCAAGTCATATCACTCGGAACGAGTCGATGCACTATGCCCCGGCCATCCAGAAATCGAACACGAAGGCATTGAAGTGACGACCGGTCCATTGGGCCAAGGTGTAGCAAACGCAGTAGGCTTAGCTATGGCTACGAAAAACCTTCAAGCCACATACAACAAGCCCGACTTCGATGTCGTATCGAATCACACTTGGTGTATGATTGGAGATGCGTGTCTTCAAGAAGGAGTGGCTTTGGAAGCCATTTCCTTTGCTGGTCATTTGAAGCTGAACAATCTCACCATCATTTACGACAACAACCAAGTTACTTGTGATGGCTCAGTCGATCTAACCAATACCGAGGACGTCAACACCAAGATGAGGGCATGTGGTTGGCATGTAATTGATGTCGAAGATGGCTGCTTCGACGTTGAGGGTCTTGTCGAGGCCCTGAACAAAGCACGGTCTTCCACTGACAAGCCCACTTTTATTAACGTTCGAACAATCATCGGTGTTGGCAGTGCGGTCGCTGGTGACGCCGTTGCTCATGGAGTAGCCTTCGGTGCATCTGACGTAGCGAACATGAAGAAAACATACGGCTTCAATCCTGATGAACACTTCGTCGTCAGTGATGAGGTGCGTAAGTTCTTTGAGGACATTCCAGCCAGAGGTCAAGAACTAGTTCGATCATGGGAAGAGAAAGTTAAGGAGTATGAGGCCAAATACCCGGAAGAAGGTGCAGACTTCAGGCGTCGGGTAGAAGGCCGTCTGGTCGAGGATTGGAAGTCTTGGGTACCAGAGAAATTCCCAGATGCACCGACAGCGACGAGAAAGTCATCTGGGCTTGTTTTGAATCCGCTCGCAGAGAAGATCAATAACTTTATGGTCGGCACTGCTGACTTGACACCTTCGGTCAATATGGTTTGGAAGGGCAAGGTCGACTTCCAGCATGTAAGTCGCTCACTCATCTGCATTATAGTGCTTTACTAATACTTTCAGCCTGACTTAAAAACAACATGCGGTATCAACGGTAACTACAGTGGTCGTTATATCCACTATGGCGTTCGTGAGCATGCAATGGCTGCAATCTCAAACGGTATTGCAGCTTTTGCGCCAAATACCTTCATCCCGGTTACCTCTTCCTTTTTCATGTTCTACCTTTACGCTGCACCGGCAGTCCGCATGGGCGCTTTGCAGCAACTTCAGGTCATACACGCAGCGACACACGACAGGTATGAGTCCCTCTGCTTTCTTGTGTACATTGACTAACAAAGCACAGTATCGGAATGGGTGAAGATGGCCCGACACATCAACCTATCGAACTTGCCAATCTGTATCGAGCCATGCCCAATCTACTATACATCCGACCTGGTGATAGTGAAGAGACGGCGGGCGCATGGATCACCGCTATCGAGGCGAAGAAGACGCCCAGTATCATATCAACGTCGAGACATACACTACCACAATTGGCGAAAACAAAGAGGGATATGGTCGCAAAGGGTGCATACGTCCTCGAAGAGGTTGAAAATGCTGACGTGACACTGATCGGTGTCGGCGCCGAACTACACCATGCACTCGATGTTGCCAAAGAACTGAGCGCGAAGAATACCAAGGCGCGCGTGGTGAGCTTCCCATGCCAACGGCTTTTTGAGAATCAACCGATTCAGTACAAGCGGGAGACACTCAAGAGGCATCTCGGAATTCCTGCAATAGTCATTGAGCCTTTCGCGCCTAACGGCTGGGAGCGATATGCTGATGCCGCATGCTGCATAAAGAGATTCGGACATAGTCTCCCCGGGAAGGCGGCGTACAAGTATTTTGGCTTTGATGTTCCTGCGTTGACGACAAAGGTGGAGAGCTACCTCAAGCAAATTCGCGACGACCCGCTGCTCAAGGGAGAATTCGTCGATTTGTAGATTTTGAGAATTATTTGATTGGTATTCAATATTGAATGCAATTCAAAATCTGTCTACGAGAGTTACTAAAATTTCATTATCCACATTGGTCACTATCGGATGCACGATAATTGACGAAAGGATTGGGAACAGTACTGTTCAGATGGATTCTGTTCCAAAGTCTCGACAGTTTCTCAAAGTTTCCACTAAAAATAAAATAAATATCCCAAGTCTTACGTGTGTGCAAAAGCAATGCCCCGCTATCAAGTCATCGGAAGGCCCCGCCTGAAGCCTTACGTAGCGGGAGACTCCGGCCGACAGACCAAGTATCACAATTTATATGTTCTCGATCGATAAAAGCAAGTGATTGTATCGAACCGAGATTGATCGTCATCAATCTTCCAATTTGAAAATCAGCCAACGTCGCCTCATACTTCAGTCGCCATGTCAGCCAAAATCGAGACAACAAGCCCAGCACCAGAGAAGCTAGTCTCTAAACTCCTATCCACAATCGAAGAGAGCATTATCCCCCTCACACAACAAGGCGTCTCGAGCGGTTCCAAGCTCTTTGGTGCAGCTATCCTATCTCGCAAGGATCTCACACCCTACACCCTTGCCACAAACAATGAGCGCGTCTCCCCACTACTTCATGGTGAGATCAACTGCATTCAACAATTCTGCATGGTCGACTTTCCAGACCCAGCAACGCGCCCCCATCCAGCAAAGGACTGCATCTTCCTCGCCACACACGAGCCCTGCTCCTTATGCTTGAGCGGTATTACTTGGGCTGGCTTCAACGAGTTCTACTATCTTTTCACGTATGAAGATAGTCGAGATCTATTTGGGATTCCGTACGACATCGATATTCTACAGGAGGTGTTTAGGGTCAAGGGAGAAGGGGAGCGTGAAGAGCAGGTCCAGCAGAGGCAGCTCTACAATCGTAAAAACAAGTTCTTTACTGCGAAGAGCTTTGCGGATGTGGTGGGTGAGATTGGTGATGAAAGCGAGAGGGAGAGATTACTCAATGAGATTACTAGGGTCAAAGGTCTGTATAACAGTTTGAGTGAGACTTATCAAGAAGGAAAGAAGGCAGGGGCGGAAAGCTCGAGTGTTTGGAAGTAAATAGACAATCGGTGTTATGATACAGATAGTCTACCATGTCGAGAGTACGTTCTGTTGATGAATAATTAAACCCTCCTATTTCCCCTTCTGCAGGGTGTCACTCTCTGACCCCACATTTACCTATCGATAACAAAATTCGTCTAGCCTCAGCCCCTCCAAATCCACCCCATCTTGAGTTGCAAGTAATAGCAAAATTTGATTGCGTCAGAGATTTATTTTTCTGGTACTACTAGCACGACTGCCAGACGTGAATTGTGCACCATCTTTTCTGTCAACTCAAGTGCGACATTGCATTTCGGAAACATTCGCTTGTTTTCCTTCTTTTATCTCAAACAACGTCATAGGACGTCTATTTGCATTTTGAAGATAAAGCAGACTACAACAACCGCGCATTAGCGACAGATCGAATAGCCTAGCGCTCAATCAACTACTTCCAAAATGGCAAGCAATCCCCAGGATGACAACACCATTTACCTCACGGAAAAAGAGGCGGAGCGCATCAAGAGCACTGTGAAGGATCGACTAAAGAAGTGCACTGAGCAACATGGCAACGCAAAGGAACCGAGAGATAAAACCGCTGCACACCAAGCAGCCACTGGTGCTGCTCTTATGGCAGATATGGGCGGCGCACCGGATCCGGATATGATGGAAACTCAAGGGAAAACAGCAAATACCATACCAGCCATTGGTGTAGGACAACCCTATCCTCCATGCACAAAGCCATTATCAGAACTGGAACCGATGGAGATGGCTGATCTGAAGATGGAAACACACCACCGAGGCCGCAAGCTTGTCGTCAAGCGACACAGTCCAGTCGTCACGCTAGTAGCCAGATCGTGGACTATGGTGCAGAATGAAGCAGGCACTGACGCGGAGCGGTTAGAGATTTTACTCCACAAATCAAGATATGGAGAAGACATTCTGGAGTCGACCAAACAGTTCATTATCAAGGAGCCATATTTTACTCTTACGGATCAGGGCGAACCAACGCTTCGGATTGACCACCCCTCTGATCTAGTCGTTTGCCACGAAGATGTTGTAAATCCGAAGAAGTTTGAGGATGCTGAAAAGGCCGAAAAGGCAGCTACTAGATTCAAGACCCAGGGCAACACTGCACTTAAGGAACATGATCTTCCCCTAGCCCATGAGAAGTATTCGGCCGGCCTAGCAATCGCGAACCAAGAAATCGTGTCCAAATTCAACCCAGATCTAGCACGAGATATCTATCGCAACCGCGCCTATGTGAACTTACTTCTAGGTCAATTGGACGAAGTCAAGACGGATGCGCGCGCCTCACTGACCGGCAAAGACGACCAAAAATCCAAAGAGCTCGACAGCAAAGCCTACTTCCGCGCCGGATCAGCCGCATACAGCCAAAGTCGATGGCAAGAAGCAAAGGAATTCTTCCAAGAGCAACAAAAACTCACACCCGACGACAGAGACGCAAAGCTCCAACTAAAGAAGATCGAAGCCCGTCTCCGCGAAGAAGAAACAGGATCCTACGACCTGATGAAGCTACGAACCACCATCTCCAAAGCACGATCCCGCGTCGACGCCGGAAACTTTACCAAAAACACTGTCGTGAAAGACAGCCCAGGCAAAGGCCGTGGCCTCTACGCCGCCCACGACCTCGCCCCCGGCTCACTCGTCCTCTGCGAAAAATCCTTCAGCGTCGTCTGGGCCCACGAACCCGACGCTCTAGTCGCAATGACCTACGACATCCGCGACGACCAAATCCGCGTCTCCCCCGTCGGCCTCTCCAAGTCGCTCGTACAAAAATGCCTGAACCAGCCCTCTCAAACAGCGCACTTGATGCAGCTCTACGGCGACTACCAAGGCGAAGCCTCCACCGCGAACATCTTCGAAACCGCCGACGGGCCCGTTGTAGACGTCTTCCGCGTCCACGACATCATGTCCCGCAACGCCTTCAGTCCCGGCGCGCAATTCGGCGAGGAATCCGCCCGCAGCGCGAGTACCGGCCTGTGGAAACACGCCGCCTACATCAATCATTCCTGTCTCGCCAACACCGAAAAGGAATTCATTGGCGACCTCCTCGTTATCCGCGCCACGGCCCCCATAAAAGCAGGCGAGGAAATCTTCTTCCCCTACCACGACGCCCTCGATTACGAGGCCCGCCAGGCGTTTCTGCAGAAGACGTGGGGGTTTAGGTGTAGCTGTCGGTTGTGTGAGGTGGAGGAACAAGATGGCAAGGATATTAGGGATAAGAGGATGGAGATGGTGGGGGAGGCGGATGCGTTTTTGGATAAGACACCGTGGGCTGGGGCGAAGAGGTTGGTGTTGCGTAAGGCGCAGAATCTGGTCAAGGGGATTGAGGCGACGTATGATGAGGGGAGGTGGAAGGGGTTACCCAAGAGGCATGCGGAGGGGTTGAAGGCGTGGCTGGCCAAGGCGAGTCCGCGGTAAGAGGGGTTGATGTTATGTTTTAGTTGGAAAGAAGATGAGTTAGTTCAGCAGATACGTAGGAACGGGCGAATGTAAGGTTCATTGGAGAATTCGTAAGCTACATATCTATACATAAAAATCATGAGCACTGTGTTTGCAAGAACATACAATCTAGACAGAATATCGAGGCAACAACTAAAGCCCCATTTTCTGCATCACATTCGCCAAATCAACATCAACAATCTTATCCCAACCCCTCTCAGGGCCCCAAGCAATATGCTTCTGATTCAGCCTCGTCTCCTCGATCAAGCCCGCCAACAACGGACTCGACTTGGACACACTGGGATACGCATCAAACTCTACATCATTGATCGAGGGGACCTGTGCGAGCAAGCCTCTCAGCAAGCCGACACAGTATTCTGTGTAGAAATTATTGCCAACACGGAAGCCCTCGAATACGGCATCGGATGCAGGATCGATTTCTACAAAGATCTTGAGCAGGTATACCTTTTTCACGACTGCGAGGCCGAGGCGGCTATCTACGACCCAGCATTTCGGCGGTTTCGTGAAGCCGGGGCCTAGACGCAGTTCGAGGCGGGTGAGGAGGACGCGGTATTTGCGGGGGAACCATGCAAGGAGCGGGTGCTTGCGGTTGATGTAGCGGCCGTGGATGGGGAAGACGCGGAAGGTGTTGCTGCCGTAGAAGACGCGGGCTGCTTCGTCGTGCATGCGCTGGCTTGCGAGGAAGAGGCGGAGGGCTGGGGCGACGGTGCAGTAGTTGGACGGGTCGAGGTCGATGGTCTTAGGGAAGATGAGGAGTTCCTCGTACACGCGCAATCGCAGCTCGTAGGGGAGATCGAAGAAGCGGAAGGGCTGGCGCTCGACCTCTTCCTCGTCCTTACTGCCCGAGTCTTTACGGCGCTCCGGCTGTTTGGGTGGCGCAGCTAAAGCGGCCTGCTCATCGACGAGACGCACTTTGCTCATGCGATTGACCATGTGGTCAATCGCCTTCTTCTTGCGAGCCATTGTGGCTATGCCGCGCTCTCAAAAGCGACCTTTGCTATCGCTTTGAGAGCGTTTATGCATCCATCGCGTCGTGCCGTCCGTATGAGGTTGTACGAGTTGGGATATTGTTCCTCGGCAAAGCGAGCGAGCGAGCTCGGGATTCAAGACGAAAATTTTATTATAGTGTACGTAGGATGTCTCGGAGCTACGGGACCGTCAGCCCATGCGGTAAGGGCAGGCAGTTCTTGGGAGCAAAGAGTTTGTTCTCCCCAGCTTATGTCAACTTCAATCTTATGGAGGAGCAAAGAGTGAGGTCAAATTTCGTGGGTGCAACTTTCTATATGGAAAAAGAAGACAAGACGGCGGCGATACCGCGGGTTTTGTTCAGAGGCCCCACTAGCTCATTAGTCAGCCCCACATGAACATCCCTGCCTTTCGCCGACTTGCCGACTCGTCTCTTCTGCCTGTGATATCCATTGGTCTCGTGACCTTATCATTCCTTTGAATAATACATACACATTGTGATGAGAGGACGCTGCAACAAGAGTGAAATGCTGAATCAATCATACTTCATTATCATGCATCGCTCTAAACTAAAAACAACCCAATTCCATCACTTTCCTTCTCCAATCCATGTTGAAGTCCAACCATGACTATAATGCATACAGCGTCATACCAAATACATGCCTCCTTCTCTTCAGTCCCCCTCCTCGTCAATCGTTCCGCAGCTACTATTCTGTGCAGCCTTCCTCCAACGATAACAAATCCGTAAGAATCGTAGGACAAGCTAGTGACCAGGATCACACGCATTGCATGGCCGACCACCAATCAATTCAGTCGCAGATACTATATCGACCATGCCACACGCCTCCGTTCCAATCGAGTACTCACTGTAGTCACTCGCGCCTCCATTGTAATTGTGGATCTGATCCGGACGACCTTGCGGAGGGACAGGGTTGGGAAACGGCGCGGTAGCTGCTATAGGAATGCCAGCGGCGTTGCCTCGACCGCCATACAGACCGTTTCCGAGACGACGGTGATTTCGATAGTCGTATCGAGACGGTTTGTGGTACACGTGGCCCTGCATGCTGCGTGGGCCCGTTGGGAAACCGGTGTTTTGTATCTTGGTGAGGTCAATGTTGTAGTGGCGGGGAGTGTTGTTGCTCCTGGTACTGGTGTACTCGTCGATCTTATCGAATTGCCTCGCGAAAGGCTGGTGCGTCACAGCACTGCAACATTCGTGCATCGGCCCGTCGTTGTGGGAGTTTGGCCGAATAGTCTCTTGACTGTAAACAGGGCAGGAGTCGTGAGCAGGTACAGTCGGACGCGACACAAGCTCTGTAGAGGGCACTTCCTGCTTTGATGATGTGGGAATTGTATCCGGTGTTCGCATCGTAATAGCAGGACTGTCGTGAGGGCGAGTATGCGGAGCATCACTAGATGACAATGCTGGACCGCGTATTTTCTTAGGTTTGAACTTCCGGGGAGACTTGGGTCGGCCGTTTCGGAAACCCTGTTCGTAGGCGAATTGGATACCGTACATGTACCAGAGGAATGGTATACCATTTCTATCGAGCACAGTCATGTCTGGTAGGCCAGCAACATCTTGAAGCGAAGCTGGAGCTGCAGGGTCGGTTGCAGGGTCGGTCAAGCCAGATGTAAGCATCATTTTTGGTACAAACTCAGTAGCAGTTGGGCAGAGATCCGAGAATACACTAGTGTGTGTTTGATGTTCGTTGTCAACTTGATTCCCAGGGCCAGGTGGGCCACGCTCACTTGTTCCATGGATCTGCTTAGCATTCTCACTAGCATATGCATGCTCAGAGACCGTAGAAGCTACATAATCAGTAGAAGTATCGATACATGTATCGTCTATTCAGAACATGAGTACTCAGATAAGGAGAAGATAAAACAGTGCTGCAGCGGGGAGGTTCTTACCAAAATCATTTGTTTTTCCAAGGCTGCGAACTATCGCAGGATCCGTAAGAGTCGAATCCGCAGCATCTCGAGATTCTTGCTCAAAAGAGCTGCTTATGGCCTTGCGGAAAGCCTTCAAAAATGGTGGCGTGCTTGGGACATGGCCTAAATACCCACGGGGCTCAACGGTGTCAGATTCAGGATGATGGCTCTCATCTTGGCGCAACCCAATTCCAACATGGCCCGCTGGCTTAGCTGACATACGAAAGTGAGCATGCGCTGCCTGATGGTCTTGGAAATCGTTATGGTGGGAACTTCCCTCTTTTTTCGTCTCGAGGACATGATTGTGATGCTGAGAGTCGATAGGATTTGGATGCGTGTTTTCATCCAAATAGCCACGTGAGATATTCGACATGGGCGTGTTGGAGCGAGCTACCTCATTCGACACTACAGGCATGTCTACGAGCACCTTTGATTTTGATCGCATGGTCCCTACTTCAGACTTTGCTTTCTGCAGGGCGGAAATACGAGATGAGCTCTGGTCTTTGTTTGTTGTGCCGACGCGAGGAATGCGGGATATGCTTGTGGTAGAAACTGGACTCATCGAACCATTACTGTTAGGATCATTCGTAGCCTTTGGACTCAATGCTCTAAGATCTTTTTTATGGCCTGTACTTGTATTCGGCACAACGATACGAAGAGAAACTTTGGCCTTGGAGATTGGTTGGTTCTCACTCTTGGATTTCACCGGCGAGACCGATCCTGTGTTGACATTCCGAGACTTATGCTAATTGTTTTAGTCAGCATTCACATGACATATACAAGTATCTACATCAGCAGAACTTTCTGTAGCTGGCGGAAGCTAAGGGCTTCTTACCCGTGAGCCATCCGTGATATGAAACGAATTTTTGCTCGCGGAGGCAGTAACACTATTAAATAGTCGCGAATGATCCGCTGCTGTAGACTTGTTTGGAAGATGCGAGGGCTTTGTGGGTGACATCTTGAGCGAGCACCCAGACTTCTGGCGTGCAACACTGCGTAGCGGTGATGTAGGGCTGTTCCATGCTGGCTTCAAAGTAGAACTAGAAAATTTCGCAGAACCTGTGTGTTGTCTAGGAGGCGTCATTGTGGTTTCAACGGCTTCCAGAGCTTCTTTTGTCAGGTATGTTGTACCCTCTCTGCCGTGAGATCTACCCAAGTCTACGGAGCTTTGCGTTGCACGAATTCCCTTCGGATATCCTGGCGAGCCGTTATCGGAGCTTCTCTTCAACGTTCGTTCTTTCGCACGTTGTGCAGTCGCAAGCTTTGGACTGGCGGCTTTGGGAAGCCAATGGTCGGGAATTGGTTTCCGGTGACTTTGTTGAGGCTGCTCAGTCTTCTGTGCGACAGACTGATCTTCATTGTGCTCGTGAGGAGAGCCCACGGTGCAGCCTATGGTTGGACTGGTGCAGTAGCTGGGTGAACTTGGGAGGTCGTTGAATGAAACTTGAAAGACGTTAGAGCAACCGACACACAACTCGAACAAAGCCATGGGCGCAGATTTCTTACCGTTTTTTGCAGTATCAATTTGTAGAGAGGACTTAGTACTCAATGCAACGTCGATGCAGACATTGCCTAGGCCCTGGCTATCCAAAAGTGAGGGAGCATGATTCAGTACATGCTCACGCTTGACACATTCTTCTTCAACAAGCCCGGATCGTAGAACCAAAGCAGCTTCTCTAGTTTCATTCTCATCTTGGTTCTGGACGATGTTGTGCGAAAATGAAGAGCGACTAGCTTCTGATGGCGTAACGGATGACATCGTGTTGTTATGCTGTGACTGGTGCTGTGGCGGGCTATCCATACGTGACGAGCTAATTCTGTTGATCTCTAATGTTGAGGAACGTAAGGAAGACACGGTGAATTGCTTTCCGCGGCTACTATTTGCATCCGCGATGCACTGCGGACGGCTGTTACTAACTAGGTTAGCAAATTTTGGGAAGTAAACACTATTGAGTGAGGATACGTACAGTAAAAGCGCTGTCGCTTTGTCGCAGTAGGATACTCTGGTAAGTTGACCGTGTCGACAAGCTGAAAAATAGCAGTAATGGTAGATACACATGTTGCTGGGTAGGCGTTGTTCGCTTCCTTCTCCAGGAAAGATCCAAGGTAATAGTACTATCAAAACAGAAGCAACAAAGCAGACTCGATAAGGCAGCAAGTGCAATTTTGATGGTGATACATAATTGGAAAGGGCTTAGTACCCAACAAACGCATGTGTAAAGAGTGTGCGCCAGTGAGTGAAGGTGTGGGGATGAGGAGTGAAAGGGTAGTTTGATATGATTTTACCAAGACTTTAACAACGAGCTGAATTGCTACATATGGGGAAACGATTTTCCAAGCGGAAGTTCAAGAAAGGTATCAAGTTCAACCAGCAAACTTAACGCGCAAAGTCACCGGCCTGGGGGCGGAATGCTGGGTATGTCTCAACTAACACAAAATACCGTAGCTCAGAACCTCTTCTTTTTCTTTTGCTGGGCCTGCTTTTTAGCTGCCTCATCATTCCTCCGCTTAAGTTCAGCACGCCGCCGTTCTGCCTTCTCTTCTGGTGTTTCTTCAACCTCCTCTTCGACTGGCGTCATTTCTCTAGTTACACTGTGCGGTAGTGGTGATGATGGTGGCTCTGCAGTTGGCGATTGCGTAGCCCTCGTGCGAATTTTACTCGGGGAAATTGTAGCGTCGCACTGTGAAGCGCCGTCCTGGCTAGCTCTTCCTTTCCCACCAATCCTAAAATGCTTTTTGGATTTCTTTGGTGTAGAGGCGACATCTGCTTGCTTGGGAGATGCAGGAGCTGCTTCCCTCGTGGTCAAAACATCATCAGACCTGGCCTCTTCATCTGGAATACTTGATGAGGGCGAGGACGATATTCTCCTTCGTTCTCCTCCTATTCGAAAACTATCTACATTTGCCTTCTTCGCCGATGAAGCAATTGTTGGAGAAGAGGGGAGATGTTCAGGTGAGGGCGATTTTCGGTATTGAGATTGCAAAGATTCTTGAACTTGAGTTGTGTTGCAGCTTATTGCTGGTGTATCAAGGTCAAGCTCTTCTTCAGTGCTGTCGCTCTCGTCCTCATCGTGTCCGTTTAAAGAAGGTTTTTGTCCCGGCGCTGTCGTGACATTCATGGGCTTACCAGGATGGTTACGGGTCGACAAATACGTCAGTCATGCTACACAACGAGTGTGCGTCTTTCGCTTACTTTGAAATGCTCATGAGTATCAAACTCGTCTTCTGTCTCCTCTTCAGTTGACTCTGAAGCATCCCTTACGTTAGAAAGCACCGTAGACTTCCGTGTCTTGCCATTTGCTGGAGCCTTCGATACAGTCAAATGTGTCGGCACTGAGGTCCACCAGCAGACTTCCAAGTCATCCGACTTTAGCTGTTGTGGCACAGCGGGGGTGCTCTGAGCCAGCGCTTCCTGGAACAAGCCCAGCGAAGTTAGTTCCGAGTCTTCTAACTGCCCAGTCTCTTTCCTCCACACTGCCTCATGAAATGGCTTCAGAGCGGGAACGTGCTTTGCGGCTTGCTCACGTTTGATCGTCCGCCTTCCCGTCTTCATGCTACCCGCACCGGGGAAAGCGGCAGCTAAGCCCAGGTTACTGGATTCAAATTGATCTAGCAGCCGATTGATTGCCTTATCTTTGCTTGTGATTGTTTTTATGAGACCAGCGATTCGTTCATTTTGGATGTGCGAAGATACAAGCAGCGGGAGAATGAGCTCGTTCTTGAGGACTGTAGATGATGTACGCTTCTGCATCTGAAACTTCCATGACAAGTGGCCGAGCGGCTCTGGAAGGATGATGCTCGCATGCAAGATGATGCCATCTTGTCCGTTACGAGTCATCCGGCAGAGTGCATCGTCTGCATTGCTCAGAGGCTTTGCGATGTTTTCTAGAAGGACACCAAGCTGCGCTGTGTCCTGTTTGCTTACTTCGATTGGCGATTGCTCCTGCGAAGCTCGGTCCACGATATCATCCAAACTTAACTCTTCAGACCACACGTTACTCAAATCCGTAAGATGCACAATGTACGAGTCCGGGGAGAAGACGGGCTTGACAAGTAGCTGGGGTACATGCCGGTTATCTGGTTGCTCGCAGAGCTTCAGGACGCGCCAGCAAGACATGTTGGTAGAATGAGAAATGAGAAGCAGCAGTCATGCCCATATTCAACGGCTTATTAAATGCCTAGAGACAGGCAGACGAGGACCATGGAGCTCCAGGAGAGAGCATCGCATGGTAATGAAAGGCAACAGCGCCAAGCTTTGTTGCTAAAAGCGGAACAGATCCCTGTGGGTGCGGAAGGAGGTCCGTACGTCACCAGCCTCGGCCAAAGATTTCGCGATCGCAGTCTCTACCTAAACATTCGCACTGTGACAGCCATATCCAATAAATACTGAAACCATCACCTAATTACACACACAAAATGTCGTCTCGTGAACCTCCATGGCGAGATGATAACAGTCGCCGCGCCCAAGGCAATGGGCCAGCGTCATCGATTCCAGCAAAGCGCTCCGCCGAGTCGCGATCCTACGACAATGCCTCCAAACGCTCGACCAACGCGGCAGAAGAGGCCTGGGTAGCAGATGAGGATCGTTTTGTGCTTCAACAGGCCAAGAAGAAGGCAGCCTTACGCGTCAGAGGCGGACGCGCAAAGCCCATTGACTGGCTGGCCGTCACGTTGCGCTTCATTGACCCTGCTGAGAAATCGATACTGGACGAAGAGGTGGAAGATCATGAGTTGGACATTGTGGACCCCGAGGGCGTACTTGAGGGCTTGGATAACGAGGACCTTGCAGAGCTGGAGAAGGAGATTGAGAACTACCTCACGCTCGAGACGAGCAAGAGTAATCGCGAATACTGGAATGTGAGTATTTGTCCTATATACCGCCTCTACATAGCTGACTAGACCAGTCACTCAAAGTCATCTGCAAAGACATCCGGCGCAAATCCAGGACAACAAAATCCGAGGCACGAGGCACCAGCTCTGTAGCTGCCGACATTGACCAGCTGCTCTCACCAAAGTCATATGAACAGCTCGAGGCTCTCGAAGTGCAGGTCAAGCGGAAGCTGGACTCGGACGAGCCCATCGACTATGATTACTGGGAACAGCTGTTGCGGAGTCTGCGCGTATGGAAAGCCAAGGCAAAGCTGCGGCGCGTGTCCCAGGAGATTGTCAAGGAGCGACTGCAGACGTTGCGCAAGCAGCAGGCCGAGGCGGCTGCGTCTGTACAAGCCAACATATATTCCATGCTCAAGGGCAATGATGAGACAGCCGAGGTGCAGCCTACAACAGTTGCATATGACGCAGCCATGGATCCAGAGCCCATGCTGAAGCTGCGTGCCGAAGACAAGGCCCTGCCGCAGGTCGAGGAAAAGTCGTTCCTCGAGCACGTGACGGCTGAGCGACGCAAGATCCAGAAAGTTGGCTACGTTCCTAGCCAGACCAAAACGAGCGACAAGGCTGTGGCTAGTAGCCAGCCTACGACAAGCCAGGCTGTGACAACGAGCGCCTCGCGGTTTGCGCCTGTCGACAAAGAAGACTACTCCAAGGCAACCATGGCGCTGTACGAGCGAGAAGTGGCGCGAGGAGTTGAAGAGGGTGAAGAGGTTTTCAATGCTGAAGAAGAGGTCACCACTGCCCGTTCCCAGTCGGATGGGAGCTACAAGCCTAGAAAGCCTCGCTACTTCAATCGCGTCCAGATGGGCTACGAATGGAACAAGTACAACCAGACACATTACGATCACGACAATCCGCCACCCAAGGTGGTACAAGGCTACAAGTTCAACATCTTCTACCCTGACCTCATTGACAAGAGCAAGGCGCCTACCTACAAGATTGAGCGCGAGCATGGCCGCAAAAAGGGACAGTCGTTTGCGCCTGCTGGCGAGGACGACACGTGCCTGATACGCTTTATTGCCGGTCCGCCCTATGAAGACATTGCGTTCAGGATCGTCGACAAAGAATGGGACTACAGTGCGAAGAGAGAACGCGGGTTCAAGAGTAGCTTTGATAAGGTAGGCTCAAGAGTTGTGGCTTGGTCGATAGGTTGCTGATGTACAATAGGGTATTCTGCAGCTCCATTTCCAGTTCAAGAAGGTAGGCCAACGAAATCTGATGACGATGGTGTCACAGCTAACATGTGGCAGATATACTATCGAAAGTAACCATAGTGCCCGTTTTGAGCATGAAGGCTGTGCAGTCGACCCAGGAGCAACTAGCTCTCTCTCTTGCATGGCCTGCCGACAATGGAACGGGGTGCAGGGCAGGCATTGCACAAGGTCTCGCGCAATGATAGGTACTATGTCATAGCCAGCATGGCATGGATGGCAGACATGTCCCGACTACGGCACTGGCTGTGACGCCGTGTGCTGGCGGTGACCAACGCAGCATCTTGATAGCAGGAACCGCTGGCGGTGTATGTAGGTACCTAAGCGGTGACGGCCTTGCCATGACGGCTGGCCAATGACGACAAACACTACTTCTGGATGAGGCCCAACAGGGAGTCTGAAGCAGCTTCACCGGAAATCAAGGCTTGGAGGGTTGTGTTACAGGCTGGTGTGGAGACTGTCGTCCCCAAAGGGCTGCTCGCGGCAGCCTCTTTGCAGGCGCAGGCTACCTGGTAGCATCCCTGTGCCTTGCGCATAAATGGGACTGACAAGCTACTGTAGATTTGCTTGCACATTCCATGCACAGCCGCTCGGTGATGGGCAAGCGCTTGCTGTTTGGTGGGCATTCGTTGTGGTCCCTTGCGAATGACGACGATGGGCATTGGCGTGGAAGATGTTTCATGAACGGGGGGATGATGACCATGGGCAGCATCTGGGAGCGGGCAGCAAGATCGAAGATGGGAGGATCTGGGCTCAGACCTGGCCCGGGGCTCGGACGGTCCCATGTTGCAAATAGTCTAGATGGTATGCAGGCTCCCGTCGTCCCTGTGCCGGCGAAACAATCGTTGGCTGTGGCGGTAGCACAGGTAGTCATTCCGACTGTCAAAAGCAGCAGTGCAATGTACATGTCCAGGCTCCGTCTCGGCCCGGGAGGCAATGATGGCATAGCGGCAGCTGTGATTCCCGTGATACCAGCCCTGCATCTGCATCAGTGTCAAGCGTGGTGGTGATGATGGTGGTGGTGGTGTGAAGATGCTCTCTGCCTTTGCCATGACCACTCACTTCTTGTTTGCCTTCTCGCCTGCCGCTGCAGCGTCAAGCCTGCGGTGCAGTAGGAACCCGTCCAGGGAGACATGCAGGTGACAATGACAATACAATGGTGCTGATCAAATGCCATTCGCTGCGGGCTGGGCGAGCATGTAAATGTCTGGCTCTTCGCTTCATTTCCCGGCACTGCCTTTCACTGTCGTCTCTGTCCATTCTGCGCCACTCTGCTGGTTTCACACGCGGCGCTGGCACTCTCTTCCCCGTCCCCCGTATCGATACGCCCGCCTCTCACCGTTTAGGCCGGTAGAAGGACGACAACACAACGATGCCACATGCCCAGTCACCCCATTATCCTGCTGCCCAAGACTCACACTGCGGTCTCGATGCTGTCCCGCCGCCAGAGAGCCCCATTTGTGCCGCGCTTCCCTTCCGCCCTCACAGCCCACTGCCATCTCAGTCCTCCACTACATTACCTGCCGACGCACCTTGCCTGCCTGCCACTGCCGACCCATCTGCCTCCTTCACCACCTGCCCCTCCTCGCAACCGAGAATGAACTTTGACGAGCAACAACGCATGCCCCGTCCGGTGCCAGCAGGCTTTGGCTTCAGTCCCGCTACTCAAAATGGTGACGCCTACCACGCAGCCAATGGCTTCTCATCTGCCCCAGGCCATGGCTACCACTTCCCCCAGCACGGCATGTCTTACGAAAGCAACTACAAGCTCACCTGCCCTGCCCAGTACTCCGTCTCGACTTGCCCCCGCTCGTACAACGCCTTCAACTCGAGCGGCCTGCCCCACGACCTCTCCGTCGCGGACTCATTCCCACCAAACGCCTATCACATCGAGCCGCCAAAGCATCATGATGCCATGGATCCATCAGATCACGAGATCAAGAGCCAGCTGATGCAGCTCAGCAATGACTATGATCATCCCCAATACGCCTGTCCCATCAAAGTCGAAGACTACAATCACTACCAGAGTCCTTATTCTGACCCGGCACAAATCTCTGCCCCTCATGACGAAACTCTCAGACACATCCGGGACCCTGACGCTGAAGATGCTGGAATATTCGACAGGGAGCAGCCGTACGCGCAGTTGATCTACCGGGCGCTTTTGAATGCGCCAAATCATACCATGATACTGCGTGACATCTACGATTGGTTCAGAAAAAACACAGACAGGGCCAGCAGCTCGGAAACCAAAGGATGGCAGAACAGTATCAGGCATAACCTATCAATGAATGGCGTGAGTTATCTTGTAGTGACCTGGTCGACTAGTGGCTGACAGAGCGACAGGCATTCGAAAAAGTTGACCAGCCCGGCGACGAGGCGCGGAGAGGCTTCATGTGGCGCCTTACGGAGCAAGCGATTCGCGAAGGCGTCAAGTCGACAACACGATATCGTAGCAAGCAACCCAACAAGCGCGGCAATCGCACTCATCAACCCCAGCCCCAACGTCAGGCTTCTGGCGCAAAGGGTGGTCAAGCAGCCCGTCGTGCCGCGCGGTTGAAGCGATCTGCCCATATGCACGAAGCCTACCTCAGCACTCAACCCATGTCGCGATCGGTCCCCACAGCCTTTGGCCCCTCGTACCATCGCTACGGTTTCCCGTCCTCGGTTCCGCCTTCCCCATACACCGGAAGCGAGACTGATTTTGGCTACACATCCCAGAACAGCGATTTCCCAGACAGTCCTATACCTGATGGCTGCAACATGGATCTCTTCTCCTCTGCCTCATCTTACATCGGTAGCCCAATGTCACAGGGAATGCCCATTACCGACACGGCGTATTTGCTTCATCAGAGCTCGTCAGATAGCATTTTCACCAACAGCTCAAGTCCGACTGCCGATGAGCCGCGGACGCCGTTGGACCAGGGGGTATGGCAGGAGGACATTGTTACCGGTCCATCGTGCATGTTCGATGATCAGCTTGTTTACAGAGAAAATGTTGGTTGAGTGTAAAAGGAAGGTGCGAGCGAAATATTATTGAATAGGCTTGGTTTGGGGAGGGTTCATGTTCTTCTACTGCGTCTTGTAACGTGTATCGATTGTTCGGTTTAGCAAGCATTTGGGTCTTCATGTTGGAATAAAATGTACATTCTCGTTGAGTGAATAGATTACCAGGCTTTCATTGACGTTTGCCATTCACCGTCTGCTATCGAGTACTACCATTGTTGGCTTCGAATCAATATGTCGTTTTCGCACTGCGAATGCGATCCTGCTTCTGCACCTCCTTCTTTCTTCCATTTTCTTATGGGAAGAAGACTCTAACCGATATATCGCTGTATACTGATTATGACGTATGGCATTAATTTCTCGTGCTCAGCAAGAAAGAGTCGTCGCTTTTTAATGCCATGATTTCGGATTCGCTTCATTAACAGCCAAGTACATACTACCAGCATCTTCTAGTATAGTTCCATCGTTTCATGTTGGTGCGTTTTATCTGTGGCGACGACGATGCACGCACGGAGTACATATAACGATAATAGGCGCTTCTTCCCGCACCCCAATATCAACTTCTTTACAAGACCACACCCAAATCTTCAAGTCTACCATAAACACCAATAACCCTTCCACATTTTCCGACTCATCACCTCAAGTACCCCTCCGAAAATCTCTCCCCAACAACCATCACTCAATCATACAAAACTCAAAAAAATCCCCTCCCGCCTCCCCCTCACGCTCCGGGCGAGGAACGATCACACACCCCCGATCACATCTTCACCCGTCTACCCTCTTCCAACCCACCCCTCGGACCCTCCCGATTCCCCAACCCCCCGATCCATTCGTCTGCCTTATTCCCCAAGCGAAGCGTGCCACAGAGACGGCTGTACAACACGACACACGATTTATGCACGGCCTGCTTCACTCCCGTTTCCCGTGGGAGGAGACAGGTAATGAATAGGCGCTAGTGTCGTGGAGGCGGGTGGGAGGGAGGTTGTGCGTGAAAAAAAGGGTGTTTGGGGGGATAGGTGGGTTGAAGGGATGTGCATTCTGCAAATTAGAATGGTAATTTTGATGACCGAGGGCGTTGTTTCGGGTTTGTTTCTTGCTGGCGAAATAAAATTCGGTGCTTATGTGAGATGGGGTTTGCTATGTGAGCGTGAGGAAGGTTGGAATGTGAGTTAAGTTGGTGGCCTCGGTATCGCGGAGGTATAGCGCATTAGTAGATGTCGTTGGTGATATACACTTGGTCGCGTCATCTAGTATGTATGCATTGGATCAGACCTTGTTATCTAGGGAGAGATAAATAGCCTTTTTCCTGAACAGGCATAACCGGAAGCGACTACGAGTAACCTTCCACAATACAAGACAACCCCTCGCAGGTGATTCCAAACAATAGGATCAGCTGATAATTTCACCTAGTTTTCTTACTCACCACGTGTTTCTAACTTTCCAAATTGGGCTTATGGAGTTTAATCCGTCTTGTTCCTTACTTAACCGCCAGTACTGACTCGACCAAATTACAGTTGTCGGTCGCAAAGGTGATAATCCGGCGACTTTAATCTCTAGATCCAGCAGAAGCGTTACAAATGATAAAACTTACAAAATAGCATGGGATTTGACCTTGTGGGCATTGAAAAATAACAACAACTTCACGTCCCAACGTCAATATAAGGTTGTCAGCATGCAAAACGGTGTACCTTGCAATAAAACGAATGGTAAACCCGGGACGGCTGACTCGGAGTACATGGAGAGTCTCACCGTTATCAACAACTAGGAAGACGCTTACACCAAAGAATGAACGCGCGTTCATACTCACATAGGCGGCATCTCAAAGACAGTCATGGCACGGGAGATTTGGAAAAAACCCACCAATCTGCTCGGCCAAGCGGCTAGGAAGATGGGGAAAGCTTAGCTTTTCTTAGCTTAGCGCCACAGAAGTGGGCCTTTTAGCCACTTGTGGCCGTGAGGAGAGACTGGGATCATCGTGGATGGATCACCAATTCCTCCGCGCCCACGAACCTACTAACCTGAATGTTGAGATTAGGGGGCAAAGACCAGAGCCAAGGCCGCGGGTCCAACGGCTCGAGGATATTGCATGGGGGGTATTAATATCAAGCCCTCTGGCACATCAACGGGTTTGGATTGACAGCCGTGACCATCAATACTCAACCACAACGGTTTCTTAACGGCTGCAATCATGCGTGTCACCGACATTATCTCGTGCGCCCTGCTACAAGCTTCGATAGCATTATCGACTCCAGTTGAAGAGCTTGGAGCAAAGGCTGTTGTGGCAAAACGCTTCCCGCCCGTGCCGTTTCTCCCGGGAAAGGCATCCTCGGTGCCGGGTTCCCGAAACAAGACCTGCATGCTCAAGGCTCTCGGTGGTGGCAAGGACGACTCTGCCAACATCCTCAGCGCTGTTAAGCAATGCAACAATGGCGGCCATGTTGTTTTCCCCAAGGGCCAGCAGTTCACCATTGGCACCGCCCTGGATCTTACGTTCCTCAATGGCATTGATCTAGGTTCGTCCAACCCCTGCATTTCCTGAATGGCCCTACTAACAGCTCCCTCAGATATCCAAGGAACCATCCAGTTCACAAACGACACTGATTACTGGCAAGCCAATTCCTTCAAGCAGGTTTTCCAGAATGCAACCACCTTCTTCCAGCTCGGAGGCAAGGACATCAATGTCTACGGCGGCGGCACCCTAGACGGCAACGGCCAAGCCTGGTACGACCTCTACGCCAAAGACATTTACATCCTACGACCCATTCTCTTTGGTTTGATCGGTGCCAAGAATGCCAAAATCTCTGATCTCAAGTTCCGCTACAGCCCACAGTGGTACACTTTGGTCGCCAACTCGAGCCAAGTCGTCTTCTCCAATATTGACATTTTCGGCGACAGCAAGAGCAAGAATCCCGCCAAGAACACTGATGGGTGAGTTTTCTTTACCTTGACAAGCATGATTTTTATCAGAAAAACTGACTATAAGGAATGTAGCTGGGACACCTACCGCTCCGACAACATCATCATCCAAAACTCCAACATCAACAACGGCGACGACTGCGTCTCCTTCAAGCCAAACAGCACAAATATCCTCGTGCAGAACCTCGTTTGCAACGGCAGCCACGGCATCAGCGTCGGCTCGCTCGGCCAGTACCCCGGCGAAGTCGACATTGTCGAAAACATCCTTGTGCGCAACATCTCCATGTCCAACGCCTCGGACGGTGCACGCATCAAAGTCTGGCCTGGCGCTTCCTCTGCGCTCTCCGGTGATCTGCAAGGCGGAGGCGGCAGCGGCGCCGTGCGCAATGTCACGTACGACGGCATGATTGTCAAGAACGTCGATTACGCCATTGAGATTACGCAGTGCTACGGACAAAAGAACTTGACCTTGTGCAATCAGGTACGTTTCCTTCCTTTTCCCCTTTCCTCTCCCAACAAAATCACAACTGTTGCTAACACAAACGACTTAGTTCCCCTCCAACCTCACAATCTCCGACATCACTATCAAAAACTTCAAGGGCACAACGAGCAAAAAGTACGATCCCCGCGTTGGCTACGTCGTCTGCTCCAGCCCCAAAGTCTGCAGTGACATCTCCATTGAGAATATCGATGTCAAGAGTCCGAGTGGCACGAACCTGTTCACCTGTGCGAATGCAGAGGGGATCCAGAGTCAGGTTAATTGCACGGTGGAAGGGGATAAAGGGGGTCATTCTTAAGAAACATGTTTCGGAAAGGAGGAGAGTGTATATATTGGATCCCATTTATACGTTACGTAGTCTTAGGGAAGAAAAAGAAAGAAAGAAATTTCAATGAAAAACCGGGGATTTGAAATATAACCGAAAATTAATACACAGTATATCAATGGTCTACATGGGGAAAATCCTCGTCGAAAGTAAAAAGACAATTTCTTGATAGAAGAAGAAATAACGAGAAAAGGTGGATATCATCAGCATAGTGCACCCGTAACGCCCAGCTAGGTACCAAACCCTCACCCCCCCCTCCCCCAATTCGCTGCATACACAAATATCCAAAAAAAGTCTATCACTCGTATCCAAAATAAAGTAGAGAATAAAACTCATTCAGATCCATCACCCAACCCTCAGCTCAACGCTTCCCAAACCCATTAGCCATCTGCTTCTGCACATATTTGGCGCCCTCCTTCTTAATAATCGGCAGCGCATAATCCTTGAACATACCCAGCGCCTGCTTCTGCCACTCGGGCTTGGCCTTGCTATCTCTCGTGCTCCTCCTGCGATCACCATAGCGATCTTCATAATCATCATAGTGCCCGCGTCTATCACGCGGTGGCCTATCATCATAGCGGCTATCGCGGCGTGCAGGGCGGCTATTGAACATGTCGTCGTAGCGATGGTCGTCGTAGCGGTCATCACGATGTCTGCGATCGCCACGGGATTTCTCGCGACGGTCACGGTCACGGTCACGGTCACGGTCCGAGTAGTAAGGGTCGCGGGGCCTGCGGTCGGATTTGTAGCCTTCAGACTTGTAGCCTTCTGATTTGTAGCCGTCGCGGTCGCGGCGCCCGGACTCGCGTTCTCGACGGCGGCGAGGGTAATTTTCGTCGTACGAGTCGTAGGTGTCCTCGCGGTGGTGACGGGGGCGCTCTTCGCGGCGGTTGCTGCGGCGTGGTGGGGGTGGGCCGCCTGAGTCGGAGTCGGAAGAGTATGAGGGTTGTCTGCGGTGGTGGCGGGGTCGAGAGTCTCGAGGTGCTTCTATCATGTTGTTAGTTGATACGTCAGGATGGAAATGTAAATTCGACCAATTACCTCTAGGTGGTGGCGGTGCTCCTTGTCCTGGTGGCGGGGGTGGAGGATATGCACCCTGTGCCTGTGGCGGTGGAGGTGGAGGCCCCTCATCTTCGTCATATCTGTTTCTGCGAGGACGACGATGATCTCCTCTGCGGCTATCGCGGTATTCGTGATAGTCGCGCTGGTGGTCTTTGCCAGGTGCCCATTTTGGCTTGCCGTTCTCGTAGTTGTCGAAGA